TCAGAGCATTCAGCATATGTGTTGTGATCTAGGAATTAGAGGGGTGATTTTTATTTCAATTTTATTTTTATGTCCACATTTGTACAAGCTCCTCCTGTTCTGAATGAAAATTATTCAGGCATGCAATACTGTACCCAAACAACATTTTTATCGTTGGTGGTGTTTAATCACCATTGGCTGGGTTGTTTATTTTTTGTTATATAAAGAAAAAAAAACATGTTTTTGAAAAAAAACAAAAAACAAAACGTTTTTCTTAGTTTTTGTTATAAAATTTTGCAAATAAATATTTCTTCATAACTTTAAGCCAAAATGTGTTGTGTTACATTTCCTTGATAAAAACCAAATCAGTGTAGATTATTTTGTCTTTGTGAAAGTACTAAAGTCTACAAACTATGGTATGTGTATATATTTGAAAATTGATCAGTCGTGATGTTCTGAAAAGGCAGTACAAATACCCTTAAAAGAAAGTAGACAGTGCAAGATATTTAGTAAGAGGCATGGTGTGTTTTTTTAAGTTGAAATTATTCCATACAGTTCTTTGGAATATGATGAAAGTAAATACATTTATTTTCACAAAATTGTCAGTTTTTTCTGACACAAGGCATAGGCATACTTAGAATTACACCTCAAAACACATTCTGCTACTCTTTCCGAGTATGGCGATACCACAAATGTTAGACTTTTTCGCAACTTAGCCACACAGAGAGGTCCAAAATCCAAGATGCACCTTCAGGTGTTCTAGGGACATAAATTACACATCTAAATTCCTGACTACTTATCACATTTTTGGAGGTCCTGGAGCGCCAAAACAATAGAAACACCCACAAAATTACCACATCTGAGAAATCATACAACCCCAAGGTATATAATGAGTATTTTGTAAATTAAAATGCATTTTTTTTACACAAAGTTGTCAATTTCTAAGATATTTCTAACACACAGCAGAGGCATGCTTAGATCTATACCTCAAAACACATTCTGCTTCTAGAACGCATAAAGGTAAAAAACCTTGAGCCTGTACAACCACTTTAAGTGGGTAAAATACTGTATATGTAGTGGAGGTAAAAAGTACCGAATTGGGTCGTACAAATTAAATGGAGCTAAAAAGCCCCTAAGTCAGTAGTAGACATGTGGAGGCTGGAAAGTTTAATTTCCTTTCCAATGCATTCTTTCATTGAAGAAATTAATTTCATCATATTCGTTATGTTGAGCCGATTCATTTTCAGAATTCGTTTCGTATTTTCGGCATGCGTTCTGTATAATCGTTGGTCTGGATGGATTCAAAAAAATTACCAGGTTTTTTTTTGAAGATTGATATATATTTTGGGTGGATCTGATATTCATATATCAAAACTATTTGGATGGATTAGGCACTTTCGGACGCAGTGGAATAAATAATGCATAATTCACCGGCCCTGAATTTTTCAAACCTAAGAATTGTATTAGTCACTGAATGTGACAATTACAAATTCAATTTAAAATTGCAATTCTACTCAAATCTGAATTATTGAACTAATTTGAAAATTGTATTAATTTCTCCATGGGCCCGAACTACTATTGCATCATGTGACATCATCCAAAAGAAACAAATGCATTTGTTAATTTTGTTACAACTTTTTTCGAATTAGTTGACATTCTTTACTATGTCCATTCGGAGAACATTTTTGTCCTAAAATCAATTCATTATGAAACGAAACGCACATGTCTAGTAGGTACTACAGATGAAGTGTAGTTTTGGGTCCCCCTATAGTCCTGCACAGCCAGGCAACACGCATTTTCTTCACACTTGCACACTGGAGACAGTAAACAGACCTTGAGCTTGTTTTTGTAGTTTTATTAAGGAGTATTGAACTTGGATGGGGTTGAGGAGTGTACAGGATGCCCAAGGAACTGTAGAGGCTTGAGGACAAACTCCTTGGAAATTATGCACAGATGTGGATAACAAGAATGAAAGTCTCTCCTTTGAAGAGTTCTCCAGTCCTTCTGGTGTGCCTCCTCAGACTCCAGATGAATTCTCCTCTTCACCCAGCTGCCTGAGGGAATCCCTAAGCAAGGGGACCCAGAAGTTGCCACTTTAGTAAAGCAGCTCCAGAAGAGGAGCTTGTTGGGTGTACCACCTGACTGCTGTCTCCCCTTTTCTGGCCCAGGGAGTGTGGGATTATTCACTCAGTCCTGTCCTGTAAGCTTGTGGGTTGGTGGCTGCCTTTAGGCCTTACGCTAGGCTGTCTCCTTCTCTGATTCACAGGTTGTCCTCTCTCAGGGGATGGTTAAGGTAGAGAGATTCTCTTTCCCAGCTTCCGCCTGCAGGTAGGCCCCTCCCTGGGCCCTCTCCCAGGCTCCACACTCCAGACTTCTCACATCATCTTCCACCCGACACTGACCACTACCATACTTAAGAGCTGCCCTGATCCCCTGCCAAGCCTCCTGAGTATGTGGATCAGCCCCTCTTCACCCCCACCCACTGCTTTCTAGAAACTTCTTAAGCTTCTAGAGCAGGGAAAGATATCAGGGAACTGACCTGCAGAGCCCTCAGCCCTGACCTAAATTTACCAGGCTGACCTATCCCAGGCTGACTCACACCAGGCTGCTATCCAGCTTCTAACTAAAAAACCTAGCTAGCTCCTCCTGGCTAACTAGAGGGGTGCTACAGGTAAAAAGCTCCTTAGTGCAGGGGTGGGCAACTGTGACCCTCCAGCTGTTGGTGAACTACAAGTCCCATCACGACTTTGCCTTTGGGAGTTATGCTTGTAACTGTCAGTTTTGCAATGCCTCATGGGACTTGTAGTTCTTCAACAGCTGGAGGGCCACAGTTGCCCACCCCTGCCTTAGTGGATAGTATAGATGAAGTGGTGCTAAACAATTCCTAAGTGGATGGTATAGATGAAGTGGAGGTAAAATGTCACTGAGTGGGTAGCACAAATAAAGTGGAGGTCCAAAACCAAGCAAACAACTTTACAGTGCAAGTACCTGTCTGATTGCACACAAATGGATTGGATAGTTGGTACTCATATTAAATAGTTTGGGTAAATCTAAAAGATGTGATTGTACTTTCAGATTGTCAATTTATGTTATTTTTAATCTATATGTTATACTTCCTTAAACAGAGATTTTTATTCCTCTTATTGCTTTATACAGTATGTAATATAGTCATTACCAAAACTTGTATTTTTCTAATGTCTGTGATAACACTGTTATTTTACTAGAGAAGAAGGGTTTAATGGTGCTACAAATAAACATAAAGTTTATACATCTGTTAAATTACAGCATTTTGTTACAATCAATAATAAAATATCACATAAAAAGAACAATAACACTCTAGTCAAAGTAACTGAACAAATGCAGTACAGTTCGATGTCAGTTACTTGAGTTACTGAAGTTTAGCCTAGTTTAAGGCTGGCCATACATTATACAATTTTCTTGAGATTTTTGGTTTAGATTTACCAAAAACTATGTAATAGGAGGTCAAACCTAACAAAACTTTCAATTGTATCCAATTAGGCAGGCTCTTGCACTACATAGTTGAAGGTAAATCTAAAGGAAATTGGGCAGGAATTGGACAGAAAATTGTATAGTGTATGGCCAGCCTTACTTTGTTAGAAAGATTGCTTTTACCAGAGACATAACTATGTTGAAAAATAAAAATCAAATTATATAAATACTGATATAGGATAACAATGTTTTTCAGTGTTTATATAATTTGTTTTACGTATATACTTGGTTTATTTGTGGCACTGTTAAAGTTCTGCTTCTCTTGTAAACAATAGTGTTATGCTTTTGGGATGATGGTGCCTTCTGGCCTTCCCAGAACCCAGTCTATCTAATGTCAGATTGTGATGTGTATGGTGAGCTTTAAGTTGGCCATACAGTACATTATACAGTTCTCTTGTTCAATTTCCACTCGACTTACCTCCTATTATGTAGTGCAAGGGCCTGCCTAACTGCATACAAATTGAAAGTATTTAGGTTTGATCTCATATTATATGGTTTTGGTAAATCTAAAGTAAAATGGTATAATGTATGGCCAGCCTTATGCAGCTTGTGATGTAGTATGTTGGTGCTTTATCCTGGCCAGCAGCCACCTACCTATGCAGCCCCACAGTTCCAATAAAATGTCATGGGTGCCCACACAGATCAATGACTTGGCAGGAAGGAGTGGGAGCAACTGGAGTGCTGGGCTGTGGAGGGGAAGGGAGCAGCTGGCTCAGGCTCTTAGCAGTTCACTGACAGGCTGAGCCAGGTGCCGCTCCACACTCTGGGGTGGATACTGACTTTAACCACTTGCCTACCGGGCACTTATACCCCATTCCTGCCCAGGCCAGTTTTCAGCGCCGTCGCACTTTGACAATTGCACGGTCATGCAACACTGTACCCATATGAAATTTTTATAATTTTTTTGACACAGATAGAGCTTTCGTCTGGTGGTATTAAATCACCTCTGTTTTTTTTTATTTTTTGCTAAACAAACTAAAAACAACTGAAAATTTTGAAAAAAAAAAAAGTTTTTTCATAGTTTTTGTTATAAAATTTTGTAACTAAGTGATTTTTCTCCTTCACTGATGTGCGCTAATGAGGCTGCAGTAATGGGCACTGATAGGCTGCACTGATGGATACTAATAGGTGACACTGATAGGCACTGATGAGGAGTCACTACTAGGTGGTACTGATGGGCATTGACAGGCATCACTGATCGGCACTGAAAGGCAGCACTCATATATGGCACTGATAGGTGGCACTGATAGGCGGCACTGACTGGCACTGATAGGCGGCACTCACTGGCACTGTTAGTTGGCACTGTCTGGCGGCACTAACGGGCACTGATAGGTGGCACTAACTGGCACTGATAGGCGGCACTGACTGGCACTGATAGGTGGCACTGATGCGCACTGATAGGCGGCACTGACTGGCACTGATAGGCGGCACTGACTGGCACTGATAGGTGGCACTGATTGGCAGCACTGATAGGTGGCACTGACTGGCATTGATAGGTGGCACTGACTGCCACTGATAGGTGACAGTGAAAGGCAGCTCAGATGAGCACTGCTATGTGGCATTGATGTGCACTGGTAGGCACTGATATGTGGCATTGATGAGGCACTGATGGGCACTGGCAGGTGGCATTGATGAGCACTGACAGTTGGCATTGATGGGCACTGACAGGTGGCACTGCTGGGGCTACACTGATCATTAGTGCCCTGATGATCAGTGTACATGCCCCCTCTGAGGAATGCCCCTTACCGGCTCTCTTCTCCTCACGCGCTGTCAGTGTGAGGAGAGGAATGCCGATAACCGGCATTTCCTTGTTTACATGTGATCAGTGCCCTGATGATCAGTGTACATGTTCCCTCCGAGGAACACCGATTACCGCTCTCCTCTCCACACAAGCTGTCAGCGTGACAGCTCGTGAGGAGAGAAATGGTGATAACCGGCATTTTACTATTTACATGCGATCAGCTGTGATTGGACACAGCTGATCACATGACCAAGCTCTTTCCATTGATCGGTGATCTGCTTTGTCCGAGGGACACAGCGCACCACTGATCGCCGCGCTGCGTGCTCCCAGAGCCACGCACGCGCAGTTAGAGTGGGAGGACGTCATATGACATCCTCCCAGAACCAGAGAACCTTCTATTACTTTATATGGCAGGCGGGAGGCGGTTAAAGTTGGGATTTTTCCTCAGCCTGGACTGGCTGAGTGATGTCAGCCAACAGCGGATTTCAGCCCACTGTCAACTGAAAACCGGTCACAGGAGTGCAGAACGAACTGCAGTCCTGTGATCCACAGCAGAAGTACAGCCAAAAGACCTTTGGCTGTACTTCTCCTTTAAAGCGTTACTAAACCCACAACAGTAAAATCTATCTGTATATGCAGTAAAGCATGCTTGTTATACTCACTGTGGAACCTAAGGGGTTAATCCTCTGCATTGTGTAAAAAGGCTGTTTGATCATAGAAACATAGAAAAGTGATGGCACAAAAAAACTGAGTGGTCCATCGAGTCTGCCCATTTTGTGTTTTATTTTGTGTGTGTGTGTATGTTTTTATTTTTTTTTGGGGGGGGGGGGGGGGTTGTTTTTTTTTGTGTGTTGTTTTTTTCTGTTTTTTGTCTTTGTTAACTTTTTTGTCTGAGTATAGATCTATGCTTGTCCCAAACATGTTTGAAGCTGTTTACTGTTTACTGGCTCACTATCTCTGCTGGAAGTTTATTCCAAGCATCAACTACTCTTTCAGTAAAAAATTACTTTCTGAGATTAGTTTTGAACTTTCCTCTAGTTAGTTTAAAGTCATGTCCCCATGTTCTTGATTTTGGTTTCCTGTTGAAAATTCTGCCCTCCTGAACCTTATTCACACCCTTGATGTATTTAAAGGTTTCAATCATGTCTCCCCTTTCCTTTTTTTCCTCCAGATTGACTTCTCTGATCATCCTCTTCTTCCAGTGTCCCCCTCTTATCTCCTGATAAGACATATCATGTGGAAACACTCTGCAAATGCTCAGTTTGGTGTGTACTGCTTTTTTTTTTCTTGGGAGAGTGCATGTGATCAGCACAGGGCCAACCAGCACTCTCCAGACAGAAGTCAGGGGTTCTGCATTTTCCTAGAGCAGAAAGAAAACTCCTCCTACAAGCTTTAACCAGTGCTCGGCTGGACACTGATAGAAGTCTCAAGACTGTGCTAACTGCTGATGAGTAAAGGTATTTAGCTGTTTATATTTACTAAAATAATTGCATTTCCCTGTTGTGTGTACTGTGGGAGACCGGATATAGTGAATGCAGGGCCCTGGGTTTAGTAACTCTTGTTGTTATTTACATATTAGACCTCCCTAGGTTTGGGGCTACTACTGGTTTCTAAAATATGTATGACAATTGCATGCAGGTATGTTGAGGCATCTTTGTACTTCTGTATTACCATTAGCCTTATGTGAAATTTTAGGTATATGTTAAGGCAAAAAAAAAACATATTCAGTAAATCTCTGCAATAAATCCTCATATGCAAATGTTTTATCTCTTTAAAGACCCTGCAAGTATAGAAAAATATTTCAAGAAATGCATTCAGCACTTAATTCCCTCTTGTGGCCAGGCAATGCACAGTATTTTTGTAGACTGAGTGGTGTCAGCCCTTCCCAGTTCTCATTTGCTAAAATACTCAGCCACTCCCTCTGTTTTCAAATCCAAAACATAGGTACAAACGTGTAGTCCTAAGTACTAGGACTGCTAAATAGTCTCTTTGAGATAATACAAGCAAAGAACACGGGATGGCTTGGAATTTGAAAAAAGATCAACATTTTTTTCTATAAAAAAAACAGATACTACTAATTGCTTCCAACTGTATATTTAAAAGATAAAAAAGTGAGCAGATAAAAGAAGTTTATTCTTTGGGTTCACACTTTAAGAGTGCCATTGCTAATCCAATATACAGTACAGTAAAGCTCGGTAGGAACTTACAGGCCACCATTCACCACAAGGTGGCAGAACGCACTCATTAGATTCATACAGAAAGCTTCTTAGCTGCATTCCTCCAGCATTTGCTGATAAATCTTTTCTTCTTTGATGTTACCTGAAACCAGGAGCACTTGATCTTCTTAGCAACTAAAAAGAGGGTCGACTAGGCCACTCATTTTTATTGGGAGATATAAAACCTGGATCATCTTACTAGTGAAAACTAAAGTCTATAGAAGGCTTTGATGAGCCAGTGGTCATCAACTTTGGTTATTGCAGTACTGTAGACCAATGGATGTCCCTATCCAGCTCTCTCTATCATCTTTGAAGGCCGATGAAAAACATCAAGCGTATTTCAACAGCAGTAAAATATATCACATTATAATAAGAGAAATTAAAACCCTGGCTGCGTTTAGTAAAGATTGTCAGAGACTTTTGTGATTTTTTTCCTGGATAAGAGAAGACTGTCTGACAAAATGTCCATTCTATTCTATTATTGCTGTATGGTCGGGAAGATTTTCCATTTGTCACCAACGTGTCATTTCTGGCACTTGTGACTCAGGAGCTGAACTGTGGATATATGTAGGTATGCATTCCCTGCAGTTCAATATATAACAAAGAAAGATTAGCAAAATGATTTATGTGAATGAGTATCCGATCTGGATTGTGCCAATCTGATGTGGATAAATGCAAACTTTTGGCAGTTTGCAACAAAGGCGTTTTGGGCATTTTTAGATTCTTGTGTCCTTTGGCAAGCTCCCTTATGATGCTCCGCTTGCCTTTTAACAATTAGTTAAGAAAGAATAAGTTGGTTCTAGAGACAGAAGGTTTTTGTACCTTAACCACTTGCCCCCTTGAAGATTTACCCCCCTTCCTGACCAGGTCATTTTTTGCATTACGGCGCTACGTTACTTTAACTGACAATTTCACGCAATGCAGCACCCAAATGAAATTTACGTCCTTTTTTTTCCCACTAATTGAGCTTTCTTTCAGTGGTATTTGATCGCCTGTGCGGTTTTTTATATTCTGCGCTATAAGCAAACAAAGACAGACAATTTTGAGAAAAAAAACAATATTTTGGACTTTTTGCTATTAACCTCCTTAGCGGTTTTCCCGAGTGTAGCTCGGGGTAAAATTTCTATACCAAAAGCGGTAACCCCGAGCTACACTCAGGGCTTACCATGCGGCGTTGCTCAGGGGGTCCCTGCAGCACTTACCTTTGTCTTCGCTACCGCGATGTGTCCCCTGCAGCATCCCCGACCATCTCCTCTGGCCGATGCCGGCATCTGGCTTCCGTGTTCCGGTCCCTGTGACGTCGGGACGTACAGGCGCCGGAACCGGCGGGAAATTTGAAATTTTTTAAAAATTTCATTTTTACTGTCATTGCTGTTTCAATGCATTTCACATATATTTTGTCCCTACTGCTTTGTCCTGTGTCCTGCCTGCATTTTGACTGTTCTTTCTGCCTGGAAACTTAGAAAAGTCCATGGCGTCCAAAAAGCGTCCCTTTACGTCAAAAGCGGTTTTTGAACAGCGATAGTAAATCAGAACCACTTGCAGAATTGAGTGATAATGATTCGTGGGGAAATTCGTCATCAGACACTGAAAACGATTTTGCGACTTTTCTCAGCGATGTGCGAATTTGCCTCTGTATTTCAAATTTCAGTGTTTTTGGTTTGATTATATTATTGAATTAAATTTATTATTATTATATTATTATTTTTTATGATTATTTATTAAATTATAATTTATGATTTTGTGATTTAAGTTTTATCATATCCGGAATGTTTACTACACTCTTGTACGGACAGATTTCAGTGAGTTATTCCTAAAAATTACAGCCTACAATAAAAAACTACATATTTCCATGCAAAAAAATGGTACCGCTTTCAGCACAAAAAATCTGAAAGAATCATACCGCGGAGGAGGTTAAACATGTCCAGTAAAAAAATTTAAAAAATCTAATTTTGTTATAAATTTAGGCCAAAATGTATTCTGCTACATGTCTTTGCTAAACAAATCCCAATACTTGTAAATTATTAGTCTCAATTAGGTCAGTCACCTAAAGTGTCTCTATGAGTATAACACTCAAGACACATCTTATACCAACATCATCGCACCAATATAATTAGATGAGTATAAAACATTATGTGCTGCTACTAATAATAATAATACACTGTGAATAATATTAATAAATGTGATAAACCAAATAACCACAAATAATAGCGAAATCCTAAACCATATCAATAAATAAATTAATATATCCACCACCGTATATGTGCAATAAAATAATCAGTGCTAAATCATATATAGGAAGTCCCCATATAGTCCATTCAGAAAAGTCCATATATCATCTGATCCTCAATAAATGAAGTAATGAGATCCTCCTTCACCAGTGTGATATCCAGTGCACAGAACACCTCATCAAATTGCACACTCACCATGTACTGGTGATAAACCAACGTATCAATTTATATCCAGCATTCCACCAATTAGGCTCCAGCTTAGGAAAATCCTCTCATATCCAATTAGCATATGTGAATAAAAAGAATACTCGCCATAGTGCAATATCATCCAGCAAATTTATTAAGGTAACAAAAAACCCTCGTTAAAACCACACTCACAATGAGTATATAAATACACAGCATTTGTTAATACTCAGAGCTACAAGCTCTGTCTCCAGTGTCTCACCAGCCGGTCTGCACTCAAGATGGTGGTAGTGCGATCACGTGGTCTGGACACATGCATCAGCGTGCGTGGTGATGTCACCGGCTAGCCACACCTAACGCTTTTCGTCCAATGACTTCTTCTGAGGGAGTGGTAAGCAGTGTGTGGAGTACGCTCTTACAGAGCCACGTCCTTTCTAATTGGCCCAATCAATAAAACACCTGAAGGTGTAATGTCATTACTATGCATGATCCCATGTATAAACACCAGACTACCTCATTGCAATAGCACCATCTTGTGTACAAATACT